CCATCACACTTGTATGTGGTTCTTTTTTGAACATCCCATTCCAGATTTAGTCCCCCTTTCCTGTTATAATATCCTCCACTCTTCTGGGAAGGCTTTCCACTAGATTTTGGAGTGTGGCTGTGGGGATTTGTGTTCATTCAGCTACAAGAGTTGCACTGTCTCAGATCAGAAGGCCCTCAAGCGGGTGGTTAAAAACTGCCCAATACATCAGTGGTGTCCAGCTACCTTCCATCAAAGACAATCATCACAAACTCTGCTCATGGAGGGTGAGAAGTATAATCAAAGACACCTCTCACCCCAACCACAGTCAGTTTACTCCTCTACCATCTGGGAAACGCTCTTTGCTGTCGCACTAGCAGACTCAGGAAAAGCTTCTTCCCATCGGCTGTCAGCCTTCTGAAGTCTCAACTCAGGTGACAAGATACAGATGGTCTTTAAGAGTGCAAACAGCATTAATATTGTACAGTACAGTTGTTGTTTTTTTTTAAACATGGGAATAAGGGTGTACACTTCAGTACACCCTTATTCCCATGTTTAAAAAAAAAAACAACTGTACTGTACAATATTAATGCTGTTTGCACTCTTAAAGACCATCTGTATCTTGTCATTTGCATTACCATGGTAACTTGCCATTACAGCTCATTCTGTACTTGCCTCCTTGCACATTACTGACTAATTACTATATGCACCTTCTATATTTGCTCTGAGTTGGTCTCCACTTTCTCTACCACATACACATATACACACACACACCTTATATACATATACACACACACACACACCTTATTTACCCTATATACAATACCTTATACTCTATATTTGTACACCTTGTCATTTACACTGAGCTGGTCTCTATTTTCTCTACCTCATACCTTGCACACACATACATATATATATAGCTATTTGCACTTCTGGTTAGATGTTAAACTGCATTTCACTGGCTATGTACTCGTACTCTGCACAATGACAATATAGTTGAATCTAATCTAATCTAAGAGCATTAGTGAGATCAGGCACTGATGTTGGGTGAGGAGGTCTGGGGTGCAGTCGGTGTTCCAGTTCATCCCAAAGGTGTTCGGTGGGGTTGAGGTCAGGGCTCTGTGCAGGACACTCGAGTTCTTCCACTCCAACCTTAACACACCATGTCTTCATGTGATAATGATAGCTTTGTGCACAGGGGCATTGTCATGCTGGAACAGGTTTGAGTTCCAGTGAAGGGAAATTGTAATGCTACAGCATACAAAGACATTCTATACAACTGTGTGCCTCCAACTTTGTAGCAATAGTTTGGGGAAGAACCACATATGGGTGTGATGGTCAGTTGTCTATATAACTTTGGCTTCAAAATGATCTTACCACTTCCAGTTTGCCTTTAGGCACTCTGCATATGCAATTTGTTCCGAAGTTGGTGTCTCGTGTCTGAATGCAGCGAAGACAGCACAGATTTTCGTAGCCCTGCTTCTTCCACTTCGCAATAAGATTCTTGTCGGCGTAACCTTCTTTTATACAGTAATCATAGAGCTCTGCAAACCAAATCAACACAAAACAC